AGTGACACAGCCACATCAACTCTCTAGAATACAGGAACAATAAATGTTGGTGAAGATGTAGGAGAAAAGGTACACCCATACATTACTGGTGGAACTTCAAACCGATGCATCCATTCTGGAAAGCAGTATGGAGATTCCTCAAAAAACTAAGAATGGAACCACATTTTGACACTGATATATGGCTTCTTGGTATATATGCAAATGAGTGTAAATAAAAAAAAAAGGTGACAGAAGCAAGGTGCAGAGGCAGAATGGCAGAAAGTCTCCTTATCAAAGCTGCCAGTTTTATTTATATCAATAGGTTACATTGGGTCCCTGGCATCAGTAGTACATTATTGTCCATGTGTCACTAGGCAGGTTACAGAGTTAGCAACATTATGCAGCTTATTAGTCAATTACATGCTGTAGTTTTAATGTGCAATGTTAGGAGCTTTGTGTAGCTCTCAAGAAAGTCCATTGTTACTGTTCTGTGGACAGACTCTGGCACAGCAGAGCTTGGTAAAATATTGTGGTTGTCTAACAAGAGTTTCTTTGTACCTGAGATCAAGGTCTAGGCTGATAAGACTCAAGCACAGAACTCCTCATTAAGGGCATTGCTACAAAAGCTAGGCATCCGTGTCCTTGCACAGCTAGGCATTATGTGCCTTTGCAGAGAAAATTTCTCAGCTGCTAGGCATCCTGTACTTTTGTACAGAAACTTTCCCAGCCACCAAGCATGCTACAACCATGAAGTCATCAGAGACCCCAATCCCAAACACACAACCCTTACAAAGGATCTCAAATTAGCATACTGCAATGTTGCAGCCACATCAGTGTTTATAGTAGCTAAATTAACAATAGATAAACTATGGAACCAACTAGGCGTCCTTCACAGATGAATGTCCCGCAGTCTGGCTGGGCAAATAACCAGGATGTGACAAGCAACTTGTGAAGCCTGAAACAGTGGGAGCCACTTTATTACGGGACAGCAGAGGTATATATACCCAACTAATTACACACAGCTTAACTTAACTAACATCATCTAGATACAGCAGTCAGTCATTAAGGAATCTTCATCATCTTAATGGCTCGCTGGCGTATCTTCACAAACCACTCCTCCTGGCAAATTGCCAGGCGCCATCTTGACTTGGTTGTGGCCCTCAACATCTCCTCCCTTCTGTTTAATTAAACAACAAGTATGTGGCTCAGGGACCGAGCCTGTTTTAGGTTGTCCAATACTACATATGGTCCTTACCCATCATTGGATTGTCTGACCTCAAATCGTCAGCCTCCTGTCTTAGGTTGGTACCATTGTAATTGGATCTTACCCATCTTTGACTACCGGCCCAACACACTTAGCCATACTTGTGGATAACGACCATAGTGGTTTTTACATATACACCACAAACAACCTGCCACAAGCAGAAAGGAGGAGGATACAAAATGCTATGATATCAAGCCATTGACTGCTCCAAGTGAGAGATCCCTGGAAAAACTGTACCACAGATGACACCATCAGCAAAGATACCCTTGTACTAATTACAATTTGTTGTATCAGTTCATAATGCATATAAGTGATACACAGTCCAGGTAAGTTCTGCAAGCAGCTTAAAGCAGAGGAATCCATTAATATGTCTATTTCTTCTTGAAGTAAATATTAATGCAACAGTTTGTACAGTTTGTGTGATAGCTATCGCAGAAGCTGTTGTAGCAGCAGCAGAAACAGCAATAGCTGTGATGATGGTAGCTGTATTTCCGAAGTCTCATTTGGATTTCAGTAATTTATATTTGAAATAGGCCTTAATGGTGCTCATTATTCATTAGCCTCCAGGTGTGGGAGAACCATTATTGCAGATGTAAGGATCTTTTTGGTCTGTAGAAATCGATTTAGTTAGTCTCTCTGGAATCCAAATTGGCTGCTGTTCTCTCTGTGGAAACAAACAGACCCCCGACTCCAAACAATCACTGGGTCAGGACCTTTAATGATAATAACTGTAAGCTGATGCAGCTGTGGTGAAAGCTGTTGAAAACTGGAGTTCAGCTGTTATGGATTTGAGATATTGCTAACCCTGCATTTATCCACAGGAATAGTGAGGAGTCCCATGGCAGCACCTGCAGCAAATAGGGAAAAACCGATGACTCATTAGTTATTGGCATTGGAAATGGCCAAACTTCAGGGATGCCAGGCGCATCTTCTGCTGCAGGCTGTAGCGTCCCCAGGCTGCCCCAGACGGCCCCAGGGAGTGTCCCAGACTCAAACTGCCACCGGGCACAGGGAGCAAGAGCCTGTGAGACTGTGGCTCCAGGTCAGGTCTGGGTTTGGGCTCGGGGCAGTGGCGTCCCGCCCCCCAGGTGGGGGCAGGGAAGGGTTGGTGGCCTCTGCTGCACCTTGGAAAGTCCCTGCTGCACTGTGACTGGCTTGCTCACGCGGCAGTCGCCGCGCCGCTTCACGCACCCTCAGGTAACAAAAAGTATTTAGTTACTACTACCTTTTGTTACAACTCCTTCCCTGATAGTCCTTCCTCCTCTAAACTTTATTCCTCTTTCTGACTAGAGTTCCTGGGCTTTTATCAACGTATGCCCTAGCTGTTCTTGGTTTTACAGGGGTGCCTCCTTCCTTCAGCAATTTACTTAACACTCTTTCAGTTTGGTTCCACCCAACTTCTGATCCCATATTTCCATAACAAAGACAATACAACACACCAAGACAAAATAAGACAAAAACACACTGTATCAATCTTCCCCATTTTCTTGAAATGGCCATCCTTCCTCTCGCCCTATCTGCTTCTAGGGACGAGCAGCTTTGCTCCTGTCCTATCTATTTCTAGGGACGGGCAGCTGTCCTTGTCACTTACCCCCAAGCATCCTGGGGCTCCCCATATGGGCCACCATCTGACGCAGTCTGGCTGGGCAAATAACTGGGAGGTGACAAGCAAATTGTAAAGATTGAAACAGCAGGAGCCGTTTTATTATGAGACAGCAGAGGTATATATACCCAACTAATTACACACAGCTTAACTTAATTAACATCATCTAGATACAGCAGTCAGTCATTAAGGAATCCTCATCATCTAAATGGCTCGCTGGCGTTACTTCAGAAAACACTCCTCCTGGCAAACTGCCAGGCGCCCTCTTGACATGGTTGTGGCCCTCAACATGAATGGATAAAGAAAATAAGGTATATTATATCTGCACAAAGGAATATTACTCAGACATAAATAGGAATGAATTTATGACATATGTCAGTAAATGGATAGATATGGAAACTATCATGCTAAGTAAAATAAGCAGTTCCAATAAACCAAAGGTCAAATGTTCTGATATTTGGATGCTAACACCTACAGGGGGGAAAGGAAAGGAAGAATAAAACTTCAGAGGATTAGACAATGGGGAATGAAGAAAAGGGAAGGGGAAAGGGAATGGAAAAATCAGTGGAATGAATTTGACTTAACTTTACTATAATCATATGTGAATACATCAAAATGAATCTCTATATCATGTACATCCACAAGCCTGGGATCCTAATTAGGAAAAGATGCACTCTATGTTTGTATAAACATGTCAAAATAGACTCTGCTGTTATGTATAGCTAACTAAAAAGAACAAATTACAAAATCAGATTAAAACCTTTCTCTTCTTGGTGACAGGGATAGAACTGAGGGCACTGTGGAAAGGATAAGTGTCACTCATCCCACCAGGGTTCACAGACAAAATCTCCTGAGGAGGAGGAAGCCCTGCTTGGCAAAGCAGTGTGAGGGAGGGAGGTGATGTGGTTCAGCCTGTCACTGCTGGACCCTCCCCATAGGCATTTCTCAATAAGGACACTTTTCTTGAATGCACTCTCCAGGTATTCTTTTGGTCTTTTAGAAACTATGCCACTGCCCTGACACAACTGGACTATGAACATGGCTACAGAATACACAAATAAACTCCACTGTCTGTACCCTTTAAGGACTTTTAGTATCCTTGTGCATTATAATAATGTAAAAAATAAAAGTTTACAGATGCCAGTCAGGGGTAGGATTAATAATAGGCTCTTGAACAAAGAGAAATGTGCTATGTGACCTCTGGCTCTCTGACTGTATATCTATATGACAGAGCTAAACACTTGCTGGAAATACACACACACATATGTATGTATGTGTGTGTGTGTATAATATATATATATATATATATATATATATATATATATATATATATTCAAAGGATATAGACTTACAAATAAGAAATTATATTCTTCTTTTAAGGGATTATTCATATAAGCATCAGCCCTTAAAGCTAAATCAGTCTCTTTTGTGCAAAATACAATGAATGGAAATGGCAATTATTGTATAATCTATAAAATTTGGAAGATGATTTGAAAGTTCATTTGTTGAATATTAAAAAGGCAAATCAAACTGCTCTTTTCTGTTTTAAATTTATCAGAAATTTCTTTTTCCAGGAAATCAAAATGAATGTGATTCTGTTCCTGTTGCCTCTGCTGATTCTACCCCTGAATTTCTCAGGTATAAGTGTGCTTGGAGTAACACTTGCACCCTTCATGAGACTTTGCCCTACAATCTACCAAGTCTAGGCATGGGTCTTCACAATTGCTCTCTGGATGTTTCCTTAACTCTTGCAGAAGCAAAAAGCTCAAATTCAAACTTCAGAGAACTTGACCCCTGTCAAATAATTGAGTAGTCACAGGGTGATATTTGAATACAAAATTCTTTCTAGTCTAGTGAACTTAGCTCACTCCACTTCAGAGGGTCATCTGTCAATATAACACACATGAATGATGACCAATAATTCACAAATACCCTTCTTAGGTCCCAGTTTGACTTATCAGAATGTTATATTATACATTCATATAAATTTACCACAGTTGAGAGCACATGGAAAATCCTACTCAGCTCAGGTCCACCATTTCTGTGAGATGCTGCAGGCTACCTCAGAGCAGAAAGGAAGGAATCCTCATCATTTATCTGTGCTTCTCATCTTCTGTACCTTTTGCTACACAGATGTCTCTGGATCTTGACTTTTTTGGAAGGAAAAAAGATTTCATGAATTATGGAAATAAACAGAAACCAGTACTAGTGCAAACCAAGTGCTGACATTCATCTTTTACTAAATTGGTTGAATAGATTGAAATCAGACAAAGATGTAGAGCAATGTCTGACCATTGTCTATCCTGTGCATGGAATAGCTCTAGCGTGAAGAAAGAGAGTACATGTGAGTCCTTCAGAGTCACATAAGGAACAAGTAACTTGGCAACTTAGATTGGATTCCATTTATATTGTCTCTACTTTCTTATGAGCCCTCAACCCAACCCCTTACTGTTACCTCTTGAGGCTTATAGGTGCGAAAGCCCCGCCCAGGAATGAAGTGACCATCATTGAGCTCTACATACTGATGTTTGGAATTCATTGCCTGTGACTCCTTTACCAACTCTCTAGGATAAACATGTCTATAATGAGAAGTAATCACCTGCTTTTATATTTACATGACCAATGTGAGGGAGTCAGGTGCTGTCTGTTCAGACTGTCACTGATGTACCCTCCCTATAAGCATTTCTCAATAAGGTCTTTTGCCTATTTGGAGTCTCCAGGTATTTTCTCTGGTCTTTTGGCAACCTATCCCACTGCCCTGGCACAACAGGACTATGAATATGACTGAAGAATGCATAGATAAACTACAATGTTCATGCCATTTAGGGACCTTCATCATCTTTGTGTGTTATTAAAAACTGAAAAATCAAAGTTCCCAGATGCCAACCAGTGGCCAGGTTGATAACAGGCTCTTGAACAAAGAGCAATATGCTGTGTAACCTCTGACCCACACCTGTAACTACATATGATGGATCTAAACACTGGCTGGAAAAATATGTATAGTGTGAGGATATAGATTTACAAATAAGAAAATGTACTCATGTGGTAAAGAATTATTCACATTAGTGTGAGCCCTTAATGTTAATTCACACTCTTTTGTGAAAGATATAATAAGAGTGAAAATGACAATTATTTCATGGTCTGCAAAGTTTGGATAATGATTTGAAAGTTCATTTGGTAAAGTATAAAAAGGCAAATAAGACACACTCTTTTATCTTCTTAAATTTTCAGAATATTTCTTTTTCCATGAAATCAAACTGAATGTGATCCTGGAACCTACCTCCCTCTGCTGAAACCAGCCATGAATTGCCTAAGTGTCAGGGCACATGAAGTATGCCTGAAGCCCTAGTGGTCCACTTTATGCCACTTTGTCCTACAATGTAAACATGTCCTATCATGTCTCTGCATTTTTCCTTAAGTCATGCAGAAGAAAAATACTATATCCAAAGTTCAGCATACTAATCGCTTATCACACAATTAAGTGTCCAGAGTACAAAATTAATTCCCCTCTAGTGAACTTAGCTCACTCCTCTTCAGATTGTAATTTATCAATACAGCACACATTAACGATGACCAATAATGGAAAATATCTTTCTTACGTGCCACTTGACTTCTCAGGATGTTATATTATACATTCAGCTAAATTTCCTGCAGTTTGAGAGCACATGAAAAAATATATTCAGCCAAGGTGCAGCATTTTCTATGAGATGCTGAAGACTTCCTCACAGTGGAAAGGAAGTTATCCCCATCATTTATTCTGTGCTTCTTATCTCAAGTACATTTTGCTAATCAGATTTTTGTGGACCTTGCTTTCTTGAAAGGAAAAAAAAAATTGCAAAGTATAGAAATAGAGAAACCAGTCCCAGTGAAAACCAATTGCTAAACCATCATTCCAGCAAATTGGTAAATACTCTGTAGGGGACCACACCATCAGTGATGTAGAGCATTGTCTGACCATTGTCTCTCCCACACATGGAATAGCTTTCACCTGGAGAAACAGAGAACCATATAAGTCCCCCAGAGTCACATAGGAAGCAAGTTTCTTGACAACCCAGATTGGATTCCATTCATCCTGTGTCTACTTTCTTTGGAACCCTCAATGCAATACCCTACTGTTACCTCTTGAGATTTATAGGTGCCAAAGCCACATCCAGGAATGAAGTGACCATCACTGGGCTCCACATACTGATGTTTGGAATTTATTGCCTTTCACATCTCCGCCTAAGTTCTGCTTCTTTTTCTGCCTTCACAGGGCAATAAATAATGGGATTCACATCCCCTACTGCCTGTCTAATGATTATCCAATTCTATTTGCTGTCTAATATTGATCCAATATTGTATAGGAAGATTGAGATTAAAAGAATATTCCATAATGAGAAGAGAATTTGAAACAGTTCTCTTATTTCATATGGAAAAATTTTAAATGATTTACTACACAGTAATAAAAGCAAGTTTTTAATAATTTTTCTCTTAAAATATTATCATGCATTATGATAAGAGATGGAACCATATTGACCATTTGTTAGCCTGGAAACCTCTCATCCCTCCTCTTTTTTATTTTGATTGGTTCTGGTGTGGGAATTTTTTTTCTCATGATGAAGCTCCTTCTTGATCATAATTATGAGATATGATGAATGAATCATGCACCATGCACACAAAGAATTTTTAGAAAAGGATTATGGAACAATTATTGAGGCCTCATAAAATTAACCAAATGTTTAAAGGAGAAAGAGGTAGCCTTTTAATTTTCTCACTGGTAAAAATGTTTCCATAATTTTTCTACCAAGTCCCAAGAGGCTGCAGTCCTGACAAGTGTGCAGTAATATCTGCACTCACTGTGACATTCTGCTCAGTGAAAGACAAATGATTACAGTCACAGGAAGTCAGTATGCGCTAGGTAACCAGAGACTAAATTAAAGTTCACTATATAGCTTTAACCTGTTAGGTAAATTTGAGAAAACTATTAATATGCATGATGCAAAATGTAGACACTTTATATGATTTATGACCTTGTTCAATATTATCCCAAAAAGAAAAAAAAATGAAAAAATCATAAATTAATATAAATTTTGGAATAGCTGTGTAAATGTTGATGCACTTGATGATGTGGACTATTTGAAGAAATTAAAAATCAAACATGAAAGTTTATTAATATAAATTATCAAATATAGGAATACAAGGTTATAATTAAAAGAGCAGGGAATATATTATAATCAACAACATAATAAGTGTATAAAATATGCATGATACAAAAACTATAAGTACTCATTCTCTTTGAATAGTGAGAATAGGCTGGATCTCCTACATGTATTTTAATCACCTGAATTTTTTTGTCACCATCATAATTTGAAAACAGTGATTTATTGTATAAATTGAAAAGCTCTGCCTGTAACACAGATCCTATTTCTTGTGGTTTTGATTTTATTAAGATAATCCCTTTCTCAATCACCCATTATTTGAAAAAATGAACTATCTAACTCCACACAGAACCAAATATACAGAATTTAAAAGGAAAGTTGAGCATCTATCAAATTTTGATCCTCACAGAAAGCATCAAAGGTGAAAATTTTTAAAAAATAGCATTCTCATTTGCAAAATATATTCTGAATCTTCTTATTTTGCTTTCTAATAAAAATGTTACTGTTGATGAATGACTAGTGTGCAATAAACAGGTGCCAAGTCATGTTACTTAGTGAAGGAAAATTAACTGAGAGCTCTAGGACATTATTTTGCAAGATGCAACAGAAGCTATAGGGTCTTTCTGAAAAGAAGGCTCTGGGTGATTTCTCAGTTTGTTTTTCAGTTCACTACAATTAACGTTTCACTTTTGTATTCTAAGAAAAGTATTTACTTATAGAATGTGAGAAGCTCTGACCCTGAAAATTGAAGAGAAAGGAATTTCCTGGCAGAAAACCAGCCCTCGCTCAAAGTGCTTTTGCTCAGTACCACAAACCTCACTGGAAGCCCCCAGTTTTGTCTGTTATAATTCCATTTACTATTAAAATTCTGCCTTGCAAACTTGGAATATGGTCTCTCCTGACTTTACCTGGGTTGCAATACCTGGGCATTGTCACAAGCACTCGTCTCTCTGAGATCAGAATGTTCTTTGGCACTGATCCTAGTCTATAGCTGGTCTACTTGGACATGGTACCATGTGCCCAAGACTCTACCTTGCTGTCCTGGACATAGAACCACAAACCTTTGCTCCACATCCACCGAACCTCGCTAGTCAATGACTCACCAACATCTGTGGTCAACTCTGTTTCTTTATACAATCTTGGGTTTGTGGTTTTTTTTTTCATTTTTGTTTTTGAGAAGTTAAAGGCAAATTTAAATCACAGAAAAAGTGAAATGGCAAGAATACAGAAATAAAATGTTATGGCCATATGTAAATATCTCTTATATAAGGAGTTCATAACAGTCATAAACAATTCATGGATCTTCAAATGAGAAATTCTAAAGAGCTCTTCTGTGTCTAAAATATATCTGGCCATTCCTGCATTGAGAGATATTTTACTCTATCCTGGAACAAACCCTGTGCTATTAAATCTGAGAACTAAAAGAGTTGTTCCTATATTATATGCATATACTTGCATCCGAAATCAGGTGAGAAGTGAGCCCAGCTCTTTCTTTTTTTATAAGTAATTATATTGAGATCATGGTATCTTTGATAATGTTTGGCAGATATGAAAAGAAGAATCAGAAATCTCACAGTTGATAGCTGAGACCTTGGGTGGCCTCTCTCGTCACCAGTCTCAGATTCCACTGAAACACACTCTTTCCAAATTCGCTGATCCATTGAGGTTGGCCTGCTGTGCACATCCATGATGATCAGCACGGATGCTTAAAAAGGGCTCCAAGGGGAAAACAGATGACTTCTACCTTGGGATTTCAACGTCTAACTGGGAATATACAAAAACAAATTATTAACTCAGGCTTATCACAATTTGTCTGAAATGGTAGGACAGGTGTCATGTTATGACTATTCTGCAGAAAAATCTGAAAGTAGCAGGCTTTTTTTATTATTCTCCATACTATAGAAGTTTTCTGTCAGAAATGTAAATATCCAACAATAAGAAAATATTAAGTTTATGAAAGCTAATAACTCCAAGTGAGAACCATGCTTGACATTACACAGATCAATAACCAAAAAGGCACAAGCTACTTTTATTTTTGTTGTGTAAGGTGTTGAAGAGTGTAATATTGAAAATTGCTGAGTTGTGATGTTTTCAGTTCAGTTGTAAGAAACAGAAAATTTAACTCAACTTCTTTGAAAGTTTGAGGAAATTGATGCAGATCGCTAATTTGGAGGCAATAAACAATTGGTTTCCTAATGATTCTATTAGGAATATTGATATAATATATAGGTATTTTGGGAAAGTGTAGTACTAGGTCATTTATTGAAGATCTTTCTGCTTTTTCATAGAGACCTTCAATATCTATATCATGAGGTCTAGAAACACAAATCTTCCATGTCAGACTCCAAGTGGAAACCACGTCTGTAAAACTGCAATCCTCTCTGGCTGCCATCAACTTGACTCTGTTACCTTACCCACTTCTTGGTACACTCCTTTCATTCTCTTAGCTTAAATTTCTGCCCTAGATATGTGACATCACCTGTCCTTCTTCATGCAGACACCAGAAGCTCCCCACTTGTTTGGCTTTTTCCTAAGAATTTCTACTCATGCCTAGAGTATACTTAAGGTAACCTAGGTAAAATCTGAACTGTGACCATGCCATGTTAAGCAGGTTGCTTGCTCTGTAGCTTCTACTATGTTTCCATGCATCAATTTGTGATCCATCTGAATTACAACAGTCATTGGGTCTCTCTTCTTTCCTCTGAAAAGTTCTGAAGTGTTAACATTGTGTTAAATAATATTCATCTATTGAAGGACATCTAGGTTGGCTCCATGGTCTAGCTATTGTGATTTGAGCTGCTAATAAACATTGATGTGGCTGTGTCACT